AGACTCCTTTGTCAATGAATTCAAAGTATTACAAAAAGCTGCGAAGAGCAGTTATTTAGGAAAACAGAGTCAATGCTGCTGTGCTCAATTAAAGCTGTCAAAAGTGCATCAAGAAGCCAATCAACCTTCTTTTGGAAAAGTCTTTGCTCTCCATTATGATGGTGGGGGTTCACTCTGTAATCAGATGCTCACATCTCTTTAGGCTCAAGGTTGACAAGAAGTGTAACTGGACCGATAATGCTTGCCTAGCACCCAACAGAAACTCATCCACCCCTGCGTTTTATTTATAGATTGCAAACTCCAAGCATCAATCTGATTACCTTTTCTAGCAACGATCCTTGAGAATTTCCACATCCTCAGCAATGTCACCTTCAAAAATGAATCCATGTGCTATTGATAGTGATTTACACAGGGAAGTGTTCTCACTGTGGTACCATTCTGACAAGTTTGCCATTCTCTGTAATAAACACTGTCATTATTTTTGACAGGGCTGGTAGAAGGGCTTCATTAAAATGTGCAGCAGGAAAAAACTGTGCATCTTGGGAGAGGATGGGAAAAGGGAATCATGGTAATTTTGAAAAAAGTAAATATACAGATCAGATATATTCCATATATACCATCCTGCCAAGCCCAGGTACTCTTGCATAAGGTGTTTAGACTCATAAAACCGTCAAAACTAGAATTTCAAATAAACATTTAGGCCTTTGGTTGCATCTGGATCTAAACTGTTCTGCTGTGCGCGGAGGCTTTGCCTTAGCATGCCTGTCGACTTTCATTTTCATTATTGGTCTATTACTCTTAGCTTAGCGATAAATTTTAAGAATGAGTTGAGTCTCTAAGGAGCTTATGGGAAATCATAGCTAGTGGTTGTCACAACATCATTTTGGAATCATCATCAAAATATATTCTTTTTACATTTTTCTATACTTTTGACCTTTCCTACTCTGGTTTCTGACTGGAATAATAAATATTTTTGTTGCATTTTACAAACTTGTTCAAAGGCACAGGAGACACGTGATCAAGCCTTCTTAGAATGGGATGATAGCATGGCTGCAGAGAAACCATATGCAAGAGTTAAGGCCTCTCTGAAAAGATCTGTTGGCTGAGAAATGTTTGATTTCATATACACATCGGGAAGGCCACTTTTTATCATTTCCCCTTAATCTAGGGTCAAAGGGTGAAGTAAAAGATAAGATAAACAAATACAGAGTAGAAAGCTGGATGCCGTGGTACACTCCTGTGATCCCAATGACCGGAGAGGCTGAGGCAGGAGGATAAAAGTTTATGAGGCCAGCCTCAGCAACTTAGCAAGACCCTGTCTCACAAATAAAACAAAAAAAGAGCTGGGGACATAGCTTAGTGGAGAGTGCTTGCCTAGCATGTGAGAGGCTCTGGGTTCAATCCCCAGTTCCACAAAAAAAAAAAAAAAAAAAAAAAAAATCTAGAGAAGCAGGTGGCCAATTTTCTGTATTTTTCCACTTGATGAAGTAGTTACAGATGTCAGCTTCTTTCTACACACAGCTGCAGAATATGGAATCAGCATCACTTTCTACAAGTTGGAAAGGGCCTTAGAATTTCTTAAGTTCTCAGACCCACACTTTTCCAAATAAAGAACTTGAGTCTCACAGAGGTTAAGTGCATGGTGTAGCTAGGCAGTGGCAATGTCTTGTGATGACAGGTTAGTGACACTCAGGACCAGGTCTTTGGTACCATGCTCGTTGCAAGAAAGTGCCACCTTCCAAATCACTCTCCTGCCAACTCTAAACAGTTCCAACTACTGTGACCCCAGTTTTTCAACAATTGTAAGAAGTTTTGTCTTCTGTTTCTAGTGTTCAATGGACAGCTCTGTGTTTTGTTAAGGACTATGTGTTTTGCACTCCTGTCTGCAACTGGAGTACCCTGGGGGTAACATGAGGTTTCTGAGTGGAAATCAATTGCAGTTGAACATGTGGTTATTTTCTTTCTTTGCTTTCCACAGGCAATTTACAAACCTTCAAGAGCTTGTCTACTGCTGTGAGTGCTCTGTTTTCCAATAAGTTTCTTTTCCTTATGAAAATAAACTGTTAATGCTGCAAAGCCCTGGGATTGATATGATGTCTGTATGTAATGGAAGCTGTTTCTCTCTCAGTCCCAAGGTAGGAGCTCAGTACAGGCCATATAATCCAGGAAGGCACACAGATCTTTTTTTTTTTTTTTTTAGTGGTACTGGAGATTGAACCCAGAGCCTTGTGCATGATAGGCAAGTGATCTCCCATTGAGCTACATTCCCAGTCCTTTTAAAATGTTACTTTGAGATAGGATCTGTCTAAATTGGTGGCCTTGAATGGTGATCCTCCTGCCTTGGCCCTTCTGAGTACCTGGGATTATAGGCATGCACCACTGTGCCCAGCTCACCATAATTTTTGCTTGTTTATTTTGGCGCTAGGGATTGAACCCAGAGGTGCTCTCTACCCTTAAGCTACATGCTCAGCCTCCTTTTTTAAGCAGTAGAGTCAGCATCATCTACTGGTTGCATTTGGAACCAGGTAACAAAACCCAGAGGCCTTGGAGCACAGCCTACTTAAACCCAGGTTGATGTTCCAAAGTCAGTTTACAATAACACACCTAAGAAGATGCTGGATAATAAATCCAACCAGAAAGTCATCCGTTGGCAGGTGAAAAACCTTTTTTATTTATTTTTTCAGTGTCAGGGACTGAATCCAGAGCCTATGCACACTGGCAAGTACTCTACCGCTCAACTACATTCCCAGCCTTTATGGAAAACCTTATAAAGTCCAGAAAAGCCCATTGTCAAATGGTTGGATAGACCCACTGGCTAATGAGAAGCAATGGCAGGCAGCTGGCCAGGCCAACCATTGGTGAAGCAGTTATAGGCAGGTGCACCTTTTTTGGGGGGCTCGGTGTAGGGCGGGTACCAGGGATTGAACTCAGGGGCACTTGACCACTGAGCCACATCCCTAGCCCTATATTGTATTTTATTAAGAGACAGGGTCTGAGTTGCTTAGCCCCCTGATTTTGCTGAGGCTGGCTTTGAACTCACAATCCTCCTGCCTCAGCCTCCTGAGATGGGATGGACTCACACTTTTCCAAATAAAGAACTTGAGGTTAAGTGCATGGGGTGGGTAGCTAGGCAGTGGCAATCTGTTGTAATGACAAGTTAGTAGCACTCAGGACCAGGTCTTTGGTACTGTGTTCGTTGCAAGAAAGTGCCACTTTCCAAATCACTCTCCTGCCAACTCTAAACAGTTCCAGCTACTGTGACCCCAAGATTATAGGTGTGCACCACCATGCCCAGGTAGGTCCACCTTTAATGATGCACAAAAAGCACCTGCAACTGTGACCCGCAGGACAGATGATTACTTGGTGTGGAATAAACTTGTACTTAAATTAAAAAAATTTTTTTTAGTTGTAGACGGACACAATACCTTTTATTTTATTTATTTCTGTGTGGTGCTGAGGATCAAATCCAGGGCCTCCACACATGCTAGGCAAGTGCTCTACCGCTGGGCCACCACCCTAGCCCTGGTTTTAAAATTTTAATGAGAAAGTAAATCCTTCACCTCTAATAGAACCTTGTGAAGCACCAAATTCATTGTCAGTGGTTTGGAACTTTAATATAATTGGGAGCAGCCAGGACATTTTATTTTATGATATAAACCATGAAGACAGCTCTATTATGTTGGAGACCACATTGTTTTTTTCCCATGACTTATTCCAATTTTAAAGAAACTTTCAGATTCTCCATTTTTACTTCTTGGCTCAGACAGCAAGCCACTCACGAGACCATCGGAAGGCCACTAGAAGCTCACACATTTTTCCAAGAAAGAAAGATGCCTGCAGGTGCTCACCCTCACCCTGTGAGTACCCAGAAAGCCAAACAGGCTCCTTCACTTCAGTTTGGTTCACTTTGTCATCAGCCTACGTGGCTTCCAGGCCATCCCTGACCCCCTCCATTAGCAATAGAGAAAATCTGCTCCCCAGGATCTCACCAGAGACTGACATTATTTGGCCTCTAGCAATCTCTCTGGCCTTCCAGGCGGTCTAAGGTCCATGAAGTTAGAGATCGGGCCCCTAAGCTCTTTGTGGCCGTGGTCCACTGAGGTGAGGACCATGAAGTCCTTGAGGGACACCTCAAGGTCTTCCCACCCCTTTTGGATTTTGAAGCAACAATGACTGATCCAATCCATGGTGCACAAGCTCCTCATGGCCCTGAGCTGAAGCCATGTGACCCATGGCTTCCCCGCCCTTCTCCTTACCCTCCACCTTCAAAAATGGCTGCCTTTGCTGAGTTACCTCCAATATGGTGACGTTCTACCCTCAGTTTCCATGAAGAGTGGAACAGGAAGGATCTCTTAACCAACCTGCTCTGGTAAAGACGCTTTCTTTTGTATAAGAACAAACATGGGAAGTATCTTTAAAAACTTAAAACCAATAAAATAGATTTATTTAGATAAACTAAATTTTATCATTTTATCATACACACACACACACACACACACACACACACACACACACACGCTAATAGCCAGGAAGCCAGAGTTAATAGCAGGGCTCTATTATCGTAACTCTATTAGTCTTTATCACATATATTCTTCCTAACTTCATATTTTGTTCTATTTATATTTTAATTTCCAGTTGATGAAATGCTTTCTATCAAGATATCTCAAATTTGTTGAAGGAGTAGGTGAAGTTGTACACTTAAAAAAAGTCAAGGGATGAAAAAAAAAAGATTGAAGAATATATTATAAAAGTTCAAATCTTAATATTCTTAGAGACATTTAAGAGTGGTTAAAAGCCATACTACATGGTTTTCAAATCCCGACCCACACATTCTTGTCTTTGGTGTTAATTTGCTTTGTGACTCAGTTTCTTATTTGTAAAATGGAGAAAATAAGGGCATCTCATGGGTTAATGTTAAACTCCATCAATATATGTTACAATCAAAATATCACATCCTATTAGGCTTCTGAACTTTATTCCAAAGCAACATGATTGCTCACCTACTGTGGCAGACGCGGATGAGAGCAGAGACTTGCCCCAGGAGCCCCAGCCTGCCCATCCTCTTCCCTGAGGAGGGGAATCCACAGCCTGAAGAGAAACAGATCAGCAGCAGGTCAGCAATTCAGTTTATCCCTAAATGGAAAAATGCCCATTGGTATAAAACAAAGGGAAGGTTTAAGAAAAACCACCACCTGCCGTATCGCACTAGCTTATGGTTCATATGGGTCATAAAAAAATATCTCAACCCACACTGCAGTGTGTACTTTGAAACCAAATTGGTTAGTGAAGGTGTGGGTTTCTGAAGTCTTGGTCTGAAGTGAAGTAAGCCTCAGTTCTCCCATTATTTGGAAGTCAGGGACATGAGCTGTGTCCAGAAAAAAAGATACAACACATTAGAGCCCCAGAGTGATTTGAAAACATTCAAAAGAAACTTGACCCAGGCAGATAAACAAATGTGGTCTTCAAGGTAGGGTGAACTTTCAAACCTCTGGGATGGCAGATGGGATTCTTGGCATGGACCATGGACAAAGTGTCTAAAAGGTACCAATAAGCCTGGAGGTGGGTGGCAGCAACAGCAAGCTTTGTGAGGGAGACACCTTTCTATTTGACCCCTGTAAGTGCATCTCTCACGCACAGGGGAAGACGATCTCTGGCCTCAGTGGATTCAAATTCTTTTGCCTCAGTTTTTAGAGTTGGGACTGGAGACTATGGTTTAGCATGAGCTGTTTGCATGAATAGATAATGCAGGTTGACCCTCTTCTACTCTCTGTGTACACTAAGAACTAAGCGAAAACAGAGTAAGCAGAATGATGGAGATATGCTCAGAGATCTGCTTGGAATTCTAGTAGCTTCTCAGCTCCTGGTTTCCAACCCTCTTGAGACCTGCTCCATTTCTGTCTTTGGGTTCTACGAGATGCCCTTTTAAAAATTTTTTGCTTTTTTTAAAAAAAAAATGTTTTGTTCACTGATATCCCCAGGGCCTAGGAGAGTCCCTAGAATATAATACGTGTTTAATTAATAAATATTGGATAAATAACTGAGGTTTCTGCTACTTGCAACCAATGAGTCCTGACTCAGTAGAGCTACAGCTTTCTCTTACCTCCTGGGAACATACTCTAAGAAACAAGGCAAGAATAAATACATTAGGAGTTAGCCAGATGAGAATCACAGCCTTTTCACTTGAAAAAAAAAAAATGAAGCTGAACATTTGAAAAATACCTGCACAGCTTGTAGATTCTGCAGCTCTGACCCAAGGCTGGTTATCAGTCATTCCAACGCCCTTTCCCCGGGCTGTCTCCACCCTTGCAGTTAGGGGTGGTCCCAGGAAACAGTTTTCAAGCAATGAAATGTATACATGAGAATGTTTCTGCTTTCATGATGACTCATACATCTATGGCTAGTGCCAACTCTTCCCCCCTCCCTCTTTCTTGCCCTAGATGGGGATATGATGATTGAAACTGAGCGGTCATTAGGGAAAGGCCAAGGAACCACAGAGTCACTGGTCCTGGCCCTGCTAAAGTACTCAACCGACATAAGCAGCTAGCTACCTAGCTCCATTCTTCCTATTAAATGAGAAAAAATAAATTGCTATTTAATACACCAATATATGGATTTTTAGTTACTTGTACCCAAAGGTGTTAGAAAATATCAAACACCTTCCATCAGTGTAGAGCACAGGTCAAGAGAAAAGGTCATGAAATTAAATTGCCTGGGTTTGGGTCCAAACACTGCCATTTGGGGCAACAAGTTACTCAAGTTCCTGTTAGACCTTCTTCCTTATTACAAAATGAGAGATATGGCAGTATTAGAACTATAAGAACCAATAACCTCATAAGCCTTGTGACGATTAAAAGAAATAATTCAGGGGCTGGGATTGTGGCTCAGAAGGAGAGCGCTTGCCTTGCACGTGTGAGACAGTAGGTTCGATCCTCACCACCACATAAAAATAAAGCAAAGATATTATATCCACCTATAAATAAAAAATACATATTTTAAAAAACAAGAAATAATTCATATGAAGTTGTGGGCACAGCGTCTGGCATATAATAAATATTCCATAAATTGTTAGCTGGTAATAATAATAAGAAACTGCATTTTTAAAACTATGAAGCAAAAAGCTTTAAAAGTTGGCTTTTATTTTTTGTTCAGTCTACAAAGAGCAGCCTGTTAACATGAATGGAAATACTCCTGACTATCTGCTTTCATTTTTGGTGTCTACATTGATTTACTTCACTTTGGCAATGGAACCCAGTGACAATTTTATACCATCATGAAGACAGATGTAAGTTGATGATTAATATCACTCTTTCATAGGACAGATCACCTCCGATGAGCAGGAAGAGTTAATACACTTAGGGGTGACAGCTTCTGACTCAAATTTACAATATTTAATAAGTTCTGACAGCTGGTAATTGACTAGCAAATGGAAATAAATGTTAAATGAGTCTAGAAATTTTTTGCTGTATAATAAGTGACTACTTCAATTGCCTTATTAATAAAGTCCTCTGACATTGAGTTGGGACTTTTTTTTTTTTTTTTAAGACAGGATTTTGCCAAGTTACCCAGGCTGGCCTGAAACTCATGATCTTCCTGCCTCAGCCACCCAAATAACTTGGATTAGAGACATGTGCCACTGCACTGGCTTGAGTTGGGACTTCTTATCAGCTACAAAGAATATTTGTTATCAACGGCAAATGCTCACATGACTAAATGTGCACATTTAATATAAAAAATATATATACCAAATGTTAAACATTCATTATAAATTATCTCATCGTGAATATTGTCTCCACTTCAAATGGCCTTGATGTCACTCACATACAGGAAACTACGAAATATGCAGCACAGATTAACTCAGATTTTCATTATCAAATCTAGTTATTTTAAAGCTTTTTTTCTCACCCTTCTCCCCCCTCCCCCGTGCAATTTTCACCTCCTTTAACAGACAACTTCATGTCTTAACTCACAGGGAAAATAAACGAGACGTCTCTGCCCCCTCCCCATGAACTTTCAGAATGTCCTCATACTGTAACAGCAAATTGACATGGATTGATGAAGGATGTCCAATACTCAACTAAAGATCATTTAAACGTCTATAACCACTGTGTGCTCCTAAAAATATAAAAAAGTGCAGAATTTCATCAAGTTCAAAGTGCTTTAAATAGAAAAAAAATACTTACCTATCTAGTATCCCATTTAAAGGTCTCTATCATACATTCATTGGGGCTAGGGGTCTAGCTCAGTGGTAGAATGCTTAGTTAGCATGCATGAGGTTTGATGCCCCCCCAAAATAATAAAATTTATTTTAGGCCATCAAGTTCAAAGGTATCATTAGAAAAATTTATAAATATTCAGATTCCATCCAATTCAAAGGTCTTTAACCTTTATATGGGAAGTATATGTATTAAAGATCAAAGATCAATATAATTATCCTGTTTCCTTGAGAAGATGAGAAATTAGATCCTGAGGCTATCTTATGTACAATGATGTGGGCCATAGGATCTATGCAACCACATCCTTTTTAAGTTTTGTAATTCATGACATTGCCACTCTAAAGGGGGACTCAGTAGGACAGTAGGAGGGTTTCAATTGCTCAGGACATCTGCAGCTTTGTCAAAATATCTGCTGACAATGAACTCAGTTATTTCCAAGTTGTTTTCTTCCTTGTGAGTGCACCTCATTCAACTCTGGGAAGATTTAAAAATTATATGTAGAAAGGTTTAAAGCATCAAAGACAGGCTATTAATATTTGTGTGTACATTTGGTCTTTTCTGTCCTACTAATATTTATGAAATTTGACCCATTTGCCACTTTTTGAAATCTAATTTAAAAGGAATAAATTATTAGACTTCTGATGTTAAGCTGAAATCTTCCTCAGTGTATGCACACCATTATAACATTTGAGAGGTCTTTAAAATCCACTCTATAAATTGAATAGCTTTATAACAATTATTAAGTACTCAGTAAGGCTTTGTATCAGTAGATAAATGAGGTACTTAAAGAGGAAATAAAATACACCCATCACACTTTTAAATGCTGTTTAAAATATTGAAACTTATTTAAGTTGGTAAAAAGGACCAAACATTTCAGAAACCCCTTGAAAGTGACTGTTCAATTTTGCTAGACTTCTAAACAGAAAAGGATCTGTGAGACAAACATAGAGCCTAAGGAAGAATAAGGCTTAATGGATTTTCAATCTTAATAATCAAACACTAATTTTTTAAACCAAATTAAACAGCTAATTAGTTCCTTTTATGCACAAAACATACACACTGGCCTATACCCCTCAAACCCTGTCTAAATATACCCTTCTGTTAATTGGGGACTATGCTTTCCCCTTAGGTACCACTCGCACCCCTCAACTCCCCTGGGTGTGTGCGGATTGGTTATCCCTTCTTCTGGCTTCTCAACCTTTCCTTCTACTGGATACTTCCAACATTTAATCATACACATGATTTATCTGTCTCAACACCAACAAATGAAAATCACAACAAGGAGAAAGTGATTCTTTCAAACTTATCTGGTTTCTGTTCTATAGATTTCTTCTTCACCTCTTAAAAAAAAAAAAAGTGTCTTTCTGTATCCACTCCCCTCTTCACTCTTCATCTTACCCAGCATGACTCTCACTGCCACTATTTTATGAGGCCATCCTCATCAAGCTCACAGTGACTTCCTTGTTGTCAGAGCCATGGACTCATTTTAGTCTTTTTATTACTTGATCTCTCAATAGCATTTGAAGTTTAACCACTTTTATACCCTTACAGTATTCTATTATCATGGCATTTGTATTAGTTCATTTTCCATTACTAAAACAAAATACAAGAGGCAAGCTATTTTATCAGGAAAACATGTTCATTTAGCTCACAGTCCTAGAGATTCAAGGCCAAGGTGAGGCGCTGGCATGGCTTGGGTGTGGACTTCGTGGCAAATGGTGTCCCAGTGGTGGGAGTGCATGTGGAAGAGAGCACATCTCAAAACAGGAATCAGAGAGCAATTCAGGGATCAACCTTGTGCCTTAACAGCTCACTCTCATGAGAGCTCTGGCTTCTGGAGCTATCTTCCTAAGGCAGCTCTCCCAATGACCTAAG